TGTCCTTGGCATGAAATTGTATAATCTGCAGCTAGATGATGTCCCAGGCGCTGATTTCGAAAATTCACTGTACGCTTTCGGCCAATCAGAAAAGAGATAGTGAGTTGAATGTATAATAATAACTAGTTTTTTCTAGCTGCTTACGTAAACGATCCTGATTACCTTCTGCAATTACATTTTGATGAGAAAATGGTAAATCTCCTCTTACAGGTAGTGCCAATTCAATTCAAATACCACAAGGTTATCTGCCAATCATCAAAGTTCTGTGTACACATTATATCTGTACTGTTTATAGAAGTGTAATTAACGTTATCTCTGAAGTATCTTTGGCTGTCAGGGAAGCAATTTTTCCACTGAAAGTTTGGCAAGATTTAAGTATAGTTTTTCACGGATTAAAGTGGTAGATACCAAGAAAGTCTGACTCACTCCAATTACTCATTTACTAAGTCATTTTACTGAGGGGCGTATTCTAAAAAAATCGTGTTCCAATGAAGTTTTCAATTGAAGACCAAAGTAGGGCTGCTCCCTTTTTTGAATGGATCGATTCTAGTACTCATTTCAAGCGCTAATTCATTCGGATAAATTTTTGAGCCTGCGGATGATGAGTGTTTCTTGGAAGCACTTTGCCTTGGTGTTTGTGCAGTTCATGTGTTCAAATGAAGGAAAAAATGCCCTGTTTTCTATTTAATTTGCATTGTTTAAGAGCTAATACACAGATGTTATGAAGTCCCTGTTTTCCGTTTTTCTTAGCGTCTTCAGTTGGTTTGTTGCAAACAACATAATTAAGAGAATAATTGATTTAACGCGACAAGACATTTGAATTTTTCGAAATTTTCAACAGAAATGTAAGAAGTTCAAAAAAAAAACCTTGAAATCAATTAAATAATAAATCGTCTGCAGTGAGGAATGGAAACATTTTTTAAAAGACTTAAATTTTGGTGGATGGAAGAAAAGATAGCAACCTTAGAGAAATCTTTATGTCAGGGAATAGTAAATAAAAGGAGAAACATCGAGGTCTATTGCAAACAGGCAGAAAAATGTAAGGACTGGGGCAATATCCACGGTTGAATTCTCCGCCTAGCTATTTAGAGTCTTTTTGATGACTACGTTTAAACAAAACACTGAGATCAAACCTGGGGTAAAAAATGACTGAGGCAAGTGCCTCGGTTTGCCTCATACTGGCCTCGGCCCTAGCAAACAACAGCCAGACCCACTTTGTAAATGTTTCATTTAAAGAGGTGACGCGGAAAGGCTTATACTATCTTTTATTTGATCTGCTGTAAAAACATTGTAATGTTTCCCAATAATTGCCGTCATTTTTTTATGAAACGGCTTTTTTTGAAAAATAAAAAAAAAGCCAAAATAATAAGTAGACGTGACTCTCCTTTTCGCTGACCGACATAAGAATTACTATCGACCCTGCTGATGAAAATTCATTTTATTCATTCCATCTAAGGCAGGCAATTTCCCGGAGGTTGTTGATGTACCACCAATAATGTATTAAATGAAACAGCACCCGTCTACGACGAATGTTTAACATAATTTGGAAATGAAGGGATGGGTTTGATATAGTTCACAGATTTGGTCCAAGGATCTTATCGATAGCAAGTCCGTGGCAGGAATATGCCATGATTTTGATAACCCTTTTATCAAAAGTAAGGTCAATACGTAGTTGCATCGAATTATAGAAGACTCCTGAAGTCTCTTACAATTTTATGCCGAATATATGAGCACACTTTCTATTTACGCATTTTAATAGATGAAGATAGAATACGTTACGGCTCAGGTCCGTTCTCACCAAAATGGGGAAAATCTTGAATTTCGTGGTACTTCGCAAAAACGGTCATTTTCTACTGAGAATTTAGTTTTGACTCGCGTTTTCTTTAACGAGACGTCTTGTTGATGATCGTCAGTTATGTTTAAAAAGAGCTCCTGAAATTGATTTCAGATTTTTAAGGCAAATTCGCTTCATGGTGAAACTAATACACAGGGGAACAGATCTTTAAGTAAAATTACTACATAAAACCATAACCAGTGAAAATTAGAAGCATTAATTATAATTTATAACTCGTTAAGCTAAGCATTGGTTTATGTAGGGATTGAGATTCACTTCGTAATAAGCTACCCTAATATACTGTGGAAGGTATATACCTCACACATTCCAGATTAAAACTTCTTATCTCGCAAACACTCTATAGGTCACATTTAAAAACTTTACAAAAAATAGTAACATGGGTTGCTAAATAGAAAGCGATTAAAAGGAACTTTCCTGTGGTAGATGTATTAGTTTAACTTTTTTTTCACCGATATAAAAAGATTTAACCATTAAGGTAAATTTGAGTTTGTTAATTCTTACCACAAAATGATCCGGTCGAATTTCCTCTACGTCTGAAATATTTTGCTTGTTGTTTTTTCGTTTTAATTTAACCGCAGAGCTTCGGACTCCAGCTGGGTTCCCAGAAACAAAATGGTATAGGAAATATTTCGTCAGACGAGCTTCGTTTTGCTGCAGTCTGTAGATTAGCAATTCGCTATTAAAGGAAACAGCCTTGTGCCGTGAATAAATCAATTATTTCTTTGACTGACACGTCTAAAAACGAAGATAAATCGTCGCATACCAAGAGCCTTGTATTGGTTGATTGTAGGGAATCTATCAGCTCAAGAACGGGTTTTTGACATTGGAAAGTCTTCTGACCACAGTTAATAATTTTTTCGTTGTGTCGGCATAGGTTGTGCAAATATGAGCAGGTGGTGATATACAACATCCATAGATCGACAGAAAACTCATTGAAACGTCTAATCTCTTTTCACTAGGCAAGTAGTCCATTTAACAGCCGGAGATATGGTAACAATCATTCGCTTTTTAGGTAGTCGAACTGTATCTTCTTTTAACTTTTGTTGTTGTTAGTTTGTGTTGTAGTTTAATTATTATTGAAATAAAATAAAATAAAAAACAATCGTTCTTAATTTCTAAGGCATATTAAGCTGCAGCCAGAATGGGCGAAATGAATTCGTTCAGTTTGGAAAAAGCTACAGTTTCTCTCATTTACATTAACAATCTTTGCTCACTCCGAAAATAAAAAGGTTGTAAACAGAAATAAGGCTACCCATAGTTTGGACTGGTCAATTGCTTTTCTTGGAAATACCTTCGCTCGTAACTATGCGTTTTTCTAAGCAGATACTTGAATTTCGCACAACTGTAGTTCCTTCCGATATTGGCTTGATGAAAAAGTGGATTTCTATCCAAACATTTTGACAACTATTTATGAAATTCGCGAAATCCCAGTGTCGCGAACACTTGTGTAAAAAGGATATACGAACTGTCAAAACAACTAACAGGATTTTTTTAAAGCCAGGTTTGTTTTGATACACCAGGGTGCCAAACGAAAATCACTTGTCTGAAATGTAACTTTTTGCTCAAAATGAAAAGAGCTCACGCAAACAATTGCTATGTTTCGTTGGATCAATTTTTTGCCACTTTTCTTTGACGTAGAAACTAGGATTAGAAACTTTCGAGAAAAGATTATGGTCATCAAAATGTCTCACCAAGAATAAGCCAATAAAGCGCTCTTTTTCGTTGAATTGTTCAAAGACCGGTCTGACATCCATTAGTGTCACTTTCTCTTTGGATAATTGCTTGCATTTCCGCATTCATTCTTTATTCATGATTTCTTATTTTATCCATATATTTTTTTTTTCTCGGGAATGATACAACTTTCTCTGAAAAGAGTTCATTTGACATGAAAGCCTTTGCCAAGCAAACAGAAGTTTCTGGCGATAATTAGCACACAAAAAAATACGAAGATTTATTAAATTGCAAGTCGCACTTGAGTTATATATGAAACATTGAAACCTTGTGGCCTTTCTTTACACCTTTTTTTCATGTTTATGTAAAAAGTTCTCTTATCTTTTTTTTGGATTTTATGAAAAGTTCTCTTATATTTCCAAAATATATTGATGGTCTTGAAATAATATCCATCTATCTTTCTTCATAGATTGGTGTCAACTTTTGTATACCTTCTCCAACAGGTTTTTTTTTCCATTTTTAAAACATTTTTAAAGATTGAAATTTTAGATAACTAAAACAAGCATTTATTTACACCTCACCCTCAATTCCAAAGACTTAAGGAAGATTTATTGCCCAATTAACACAAAAATTTAATTAAAAAAATTTATAAAGCTTGACAATCGAGGAAAGACAGGATAAGATTTATTTTAAATATTGGCAATTAATTCGGGGTGAACCAATTAGCAAAATCGGAATTGAATTTCAACCCGGACATTTCTGTTTGGTTCAAGTTGCGTGTTACCCTTGCAATGCTTGGTTGGTCTGTGTATATTCTGTGCTTCAATTGTATCCTTGCTTTAAATTTTATTTTCTTTTGTTTCAAACTCATTATCATACATCACCATACATCACCATACCCAAATTAAAACAAATAAAAAAGCAAGGATAAAATTGAACCACAACATTTATCTTGACCTTATCTAGTACCCAGATCTCTTGTTGATGAAGCCGAAGGCGAGATTTTGTCAAATCCGATTTGTACACGTGATTGCCTGTCAGGAATGTGACAGGCGAGGAAAGAGTGTATGTTGGAAATAAATCCTCAAAATCGCGGCCATTTTTCGACTTGTTAAACAACAAATTTGATAGAGCCGTGAAGTTTTTTCTAACAAAACGTGGTTATACGTACATCTTAAGTATGAACCAACTAATTTGTTGTTGTTGTGCTTGTAACATCAAATTCAACGCAACAGTTTGTTTAAAATGGGCTCCTGTTTAAATCTAATTATCATGGCGCGCGCTAAAGCCGTCAACTCTGCGCGATAATTTTTTTTAAATCCTTTTCAAACGTCTTTATTGACACCGAGAGAGAGTTTTAAAAAGTCTTTGAAGATAAGATAAAAATGGTTTTACAATTTATATAGAGACGGAAAACTACTTCTTCAGTGAAATATTTATTTGAACAGAACTGGAAATTTTGCAAAGAAAGACCTTTTGTGCCCACGCCATAGCGTTCACTGGAGACAACACTTTCGTCATTCGCTCACAATCTAGCCAATCAAAAAAATTAAATTTTCTCACTTGACAAGATCTCGCCTTCGGCTTCGTCAAAAAGAGATCTGGGTTCGAGATTAATCTTTACCAATCTTATCCAATCAAGATGGCTTTCCTCCTCAACCCACCCCACCCCACCTTCTCAATTTTAAGCACAATAATAGCTATTTAAAAGGGATAAGACATTGAAAAAAGCAACTCAGAGAGACAAAGAATCAAAATAAACTGAAGAAAACATAAACTGGCATTTATAAAGGTAACCAAGTGAATAGGTCAGTTAGTGAACAGTGAGCGGTAAATACTTGAAGGCTGCGCGCGCAGGGCTGTCCAAAGTGGGAGACGACTCTTGGTGTGACTTTTAAGCTTTTTGTTTTATCTAAGGGTGGTGCGAAAAGCATTAAAACAAACGACTTTGTTCCTTAAGGAAAGCTTTATTAGACTGTGAGCAAAACAAATGATTCATCTAAATAACTCTTGATTTCTGTTACTTCAGAGCATACTTTCCGCTTGTAAACATGGCGATCTAGTAAAAAAAGAATTATATGTCAGTTATACGATCGACATCTTCTCAAAGGAGATTCATGAGAGTCCCGGTTGTTGAAAACTGAAGTTGGAGAGCTTGTTCCTCTAAACATACGGCTATGAACACTTGAATATTGACTGAAAGAGACGATTGGTTTTTGAAAGCGATGTACATGGCATCAATCTAAATGACGAAAAGATCGGCGGAGTAGTGTATCCAGTTAAAGGGTACTCCCCTATATAAGCCATATGGGTATGTGCCGCCCCAAATGGTAGGGTTTTTGTGCCGTTTTGGTCTGAAAACGGGTATAGACTTTCCTCACTTTGGTCTGGAATCGGGTACGGATTTCTAGGGAACTACGGCATTGTATTAACGTATCTATTCTTTCAATTCCAAATGAGTCAGAAAGAAAGAGAAATATGCAAAATCGAAAAGATATCTTTTTTGTTGCTGTTCTAATCTAAGTAATGATGACAAAATATCTCTTAAAGGCCAGGATGGATTTTGGAGGCCAGGGTTCCTGAAAGGCTGATTGGTGTTAATCCAGGATTAAAATTTGTTCCGTTTTTGTATTTTACATTCCTATGCATTGCTTAGGGCAACATTTTTTGTTATCATTACTGTATCTCGTAGTACAGGCTCAACATTTTTTGTAACCTCGAGTTGCATGTTGTTAGACGAGAAAACCGTGCTTGAAATTTGGCTTAATCCTGGATTAAACTTCACCATGTTTCGAGAAACCGGGCCCAGGTCTGAAAACGGGTGTAAAAAAATATGACATTTTTTCATCTGAAATAGGGTCAAGATTTGGAGAACCGGGCGGCACACCCCCACCAAGAATTCCCAGGAGAAACCCCCTGGGGGGTCACAGCTGCCTGGTTCATTTTATTAATATTACAAATTACGCGTCCCTATTCACTATGGACTTGAGAAATTACCTGTAAATGTGACAAAATCACCGTTTCGTGTCAACAAATGTCTGTCAAGCATTATATCAGACCTTACAAACAACTAAAATGAACTTTGAGTCGTTGTGAATTAAAGCCAAGATAGTGACCGTTTATTGTCAATGTTATCATCCCATTGAGACCTACTTACCACCTTACCTGCCCTTAACTTTGACACGATGCTTGGAGAACGGAGTTCAGTCTTACAAAGAGGTCCTCGAACTTGTCAACGTGCAATACGTTTGCAGTGTTACCATTAGCAATCTGCCGCAACTCGCTATAATCGATACCACTGCCAACTCCAACTGCAATCATTTTTACCTTTTTGCTCTAGAAGAAATCAATGAACACAAGAAATTTCACTAATTACTTACTAGTTAACCCTTTAAGTCCCAATAGTGACCAACATCAATTTTCTCCCAATGATATCCATACATTGTCAAGAGACTAGGTTATGAGCATTAATAAAATGATCACCTAAGAGAAATGCTTTGATCTTTTGTCAAATTCTCTCAACACATTCTTTAAGGAAATATATAGAGATCAGTTTGGAGAATTTGTATGTGGATATTGGGGCTTAAACGGTTAACAGTGCGTACCTATAGTGACTGGCGGTCATCTCTGGCTATTATTATCAGAACTATTACGTAGCCATGGACTGATGAACAACGATAAGGCGTTGTTGGTCCGGCGAGTTGTTAAGTGCAAGATTAATATGTGTGAATAAGGTTTGTTGTAGTTGTTCTGTGTTTACTGGTGATCGTCGTTGGTCATTATACGTACGTCCATGAGCATTTTTCAGTAAACACACAACGTACCAAGTATTTGTCTCTCTTAAGCTGCGTGCAAACGGACGCAACAACTCCCAACATTGTTGGCCAACAATGGTGGGAGTTGTTGCGTCCGTTTGCACGCAGCTCAAAGTTTGACCGGTTTCAAACTTTGCGCAACAACTCCCAACAACACGCAACAACATGCAACAGGGTGTGAAAACGGACACAACATGTAACATCCAACAATGTTGGAAGTTGTTGGCCAACTCTGTTGCTTCCTTTTGCACGGGGCTTTAGGAAGGATTTAACCGAACTAATAGTGATACTAATGATAATAATAATAATAATAATAATAATAATAATAATAATAATAATAATAACAACAATGATAAAAATGATACTTTACGTTTATAGCGCCATTTCCAGCGATGCCCAATGGCGCTTTACAAGAAATGTTTAAAATATTACAAATAATGTTTTCTAAATTACATTAAATTCGTCCCGTACATACTGGCACGTCCCTCTGCAGGTTTAAACGTTTTTGAAAAGTGCTAAATCTTCAGCATTGCTTGATCTTGATTGGTGCTATTAGGGAGCTTAAGCAACAACGACGACGACGGCAGTGAAAACGTCGCTATAAAATGTGTCCTTTCAAACTTTCTCGCATCTATTTAGTCCCTTACAATTTGTCAAATGTAGGTGATTGTTCCTGGAGTTGACTTGTTCTAGTTTCAAAAATAGCCTGGAAAATTCGTCGTCGTATGTTTACGCCCTCCACTGGACGTCGAATTAGGAGGTTCCACGTCGTAGTCGTGCAGTGGACGTCAAAGAAATGTAGTAAAAATGATGATGCTCGTGCAGAGCTGTTGTTTTGCTCTTGAAACCAAATTTTTTGGCGTTGTCATCGTCGTCGTCGTGGTTGCTTAAGCTCCTTATAAATAAGTCATAATTGACCCGTCACTTACAATAAGCGGTGCCAGGACACTGCTGTAGGGCTTGCTGTCACTGTTTGTTTTTCCGTCTGTGATGACCACGAGCACGTTTGGTTTATCAGCACGGTCTCCTCCCGCGGAGCTAAAGAGTCCAGAGTTGGCCATCTGAAGGGCAATGTCCGTTCGAGTTCCGCCGCCGGTGTAAGCAATTCTGTTCAGGAGACAAATCCTATATTAGTCACTTATTCAAAGAGAATGGCACCTATATAGCATCCACTCATTCACCAGCAGGTAATTTTGATGAAGATGACATGCAGCCGCAGACATCACTTCTGACTAGTTCCTCAATCCTAACTTTTTGTAGGCGTTTGAAACCAAGTGTTTGTCGGGTTAAACCCTCCAAGAATGAATGAAGTGTTTCCGAGAATGAGGTATTTCTTACTGACCATGCAGTGAGTCAGCATGGACATCATACATTGTTTGCCGAGGCGGAGAATTCACTTAACTGTGTCCAGGATTGAATTCCAGAGTTTTTTTTGTTTAACAAGTGGTTCGCTTTTGACGGGTATTTTTGTTTTCATGTTTCTTGCTATTTGGGACAATTATGTGCCCGAAATTTGGTGAACCTCTTTGCACGGCCTCTGATCTTGAAACTTCGGAGGTACTAAGAACAACTTTTCATGGGTATGATCAAGAACTCGCTCAAATGCATCCAAAGCTATAGACAAGTGACAAAGCTTCGGGCAAATAAACTTAAAACTGAGGTAAAGAAGCTAGGGCCTTTCTGTAGTCATTCGGTAATATACCTAACTTTTCTTTTCCTGAATGGAAACCTGGAAGGAAGAAGATCAGGGGAAAATAATGGTACCTGTCGATGACATCTTTCATGGCAGATGGGTTTTGCTTGTCCTCTTGAGCGAATTTAACTACCAGATGCGAGCTTGAGTGATATGCAATGATACCTACGCGGGTGCCGAGAGATGAGATTTGGAACTTTCTGGCAAGGGCGCTAACAAAATTCTTCGACTTTAAAAAGTCTTTGCTGCCCACAGATCCTGATCGATCCATGATGATACCAACGTCCATTGCGTGTTGACACGGTGGGGCAGCAGCGTCTGAGTGACAAGCATACTAACATGAGGGACATAAATATACTCACATACTGAAGGTCCTCCTGAAGGAGGACCAGGAGGTTATGCCTATGTCAAGAGCCCCGCCTACAAATTACCCACTTAAGACTTAACTATAGACGGTGCACTATAGGTAGGCACTTCCAGTAGTCAGTTTGCTACGTCCCTGGCCCTAGTTGTTCAATAGATGGATAGTGCTATTCACTGAGTAAATCACTATTCAGTGGATATTTCCCTGTTTCTTATTTGCTGGGTAGTGATTTATTCTGTGGAGAGCATTATCTAACGTTTGAACAATTGGGGCCTGGTGCTTCTTCATGGTCCCACCGAGTCAGTCTCAGACGGCGTTTACGGTTTTCCTTTTTTATGAAAGGAAACTAGAAGGTCTAGCCATTTGCGAATGTGAAACAAAAAGTAAATTCACTTTATTTCTTTTTTCCAAGTTGATGATCGGATTTTTTTCAAAATAACAGAGAAAATTACCCTGACAAATCTTTTGGTCAAAAGAAAACGAACCATTTGGATGGTAAAGTGGATACTCCTTTAAGGAACTGTGGTTCTCGGTAGGTGGGAGAGTGAGACATCAAGAGACAGATTCTCTCTGAAGAAGGGCTAACGCTAGAAACGTCAGCTTACGAATCTGTTTACGTCCTTAGTTTACAAATGTGAACCCCCCCAAAAAAGAGTCAAATCAGAAGGAGAAGCAAAGTGTCTCCACAGGGTGTGTAAATGACTTCAAAGTTACCTGGTTGACAAGAGGCATACAGTATGTTGTTCTCGTTACTGAGAAGTTGATTAAACGCATCCACGTGAATTGCGTTTTCACGTTTACCATCAGCGATCTCTTCCAATTCGTCGTCGTCAATTCCTGATCCGATGCCAACTGCTATCATTCTCACGTTCTTTTTCTAGGAAATGAGTGGCCATTCTCATTACTTTTCCTTGGTCTAGCTACTTCAGATATGAATTTGGAGTATATCTGAGGCCTATGCTTTTCCTGTTTCAACGGATTTGTAAGCCTAGATAGATTCTGAATATTTCTCCACTACGATTTGTACGTGATACAAAAAGGACCAGAAATATCTTTTTCGGTAGTCGACCGGGCAACCCAAGCCTACAGAGATTAAGTTGTTAATTACTTTATAGTTACTTTGGATTTGGTAAAAAACTAGAAAGAATGTACTTTTATAAGTAGCTGTTGGAAGTGGGAGACAAACTTTCTAGATTGTCTTGCGCTGTTTCCTTCCCCACTTACTGGAAAGCCATTTGCTTTTCTTCTTGTGATAGGTTAAGTATTAGTGTATAGCATAAAACAAGTAAACCTTCTGACAACACTGCATGAGTTTCTCAATACCTCACCTTCAATGGCTCTAGCACTATTTTGTAAGCTTTACTTCCATGATTCGTCTTTCCATCCGTCATGACAATAAGCACATTCGGTTTGTCACTGCGCATTCCACCTGCACTGCTAAACAGCTGACTATTGGCCAGTTCAATAGCAATATCAGTGCGTGTGTTTCCCGAGGTGTACTTGATAGCCTGTATCAGCTTGGTCATGGCATCTGGCGTCTGATGCTGGACGTCAGAAAACCTCACTGAAACCTGCGCACTGGAGTGGTACGGGATGATACCGATGCGGGTACCATGGGAAGAGATTTGCAATTTGTGCACCAGTGATATGACAAAATCCTTCGCCTGATCAAAGTTTTGGGAACCAACTGAACCAGAGCGATCCATAATCACACCAATGTCCAAAGGACGCTTACAGGACGAAGGCATCCCTGGAGCTTAAGAAAGAAAAAGGACAGAGTTATGCTCAAAGCAGAAGCCGGAGGTAAGTGACTGTTCTTCGTAACTAATTATATCCATTATGTTCCGCTTACTATTTAGGAATGATTTTTAGTATTCGTGAATCGATTGCTCTATCAGAATCAAAATTTTGACATTGACTACTGTAATATTCCAAAGGCAAAGAGGAAATGGTGTTTTTGGATTATTTTTTTTGACCTAGCAGCTGACACCAGGTGAGTATATAAGTACACAAGTAAGTTAATGTCGGCAACTTAATCGTTAAAAACAAAAGCAAGGTCAGAGGATTCAAAACATGACTTTCTGTTATACCTTTTTGCTCGGCGCAATACTTAAGATGGCAAACTGGAGTCTTGGGGAAGTTATATACGTAGAATTCTCCGCAGTCTCTGACTCTGATATTAACACTCCATTTGCAGCAATTTCCACTCCAGTGGAAGCAAACTTTTTTTGTAACAGCACCCTGCTCTTCAGTAGGATGCCCTCCCTGGAGCCAGCCTGGCGCATGCGTACCGCAACGATGTGTCGGTACACAGGCCGTAGGCATTGCAGTTCCGGCTGCTCCCATGAAACGGTGCCACTTCCCAACTGTTTTAAGATTCCTCTGGTCACAGGTCAATGGGCCTCCACTGTAGGTCTTTGAGCGTTCTTTTTCACTGATTACAACGTAATTTTTGCATTCAGATGGAATGAGGACTGAAATTTAAAAGAGCGTTGGTTAAGGTTAGAAACAAAATCATATGTAGAGGCACTCCTGATAGGGGTGTTTCTTGGTTTTAATTTACGTTTTTTTTTTTTTTGAGTATCTTTTCCTCGAAACCGAGTTAGTGTATGACGAATAGGTCATTTTATAGTTGTAGGCTTAGTATCCTAGCCTCTGAGTGAACGTGAGGCTGAGGTTGACCTTGCTTTGATACAAACCTCCTTACTCTTCTTATGGAAATTATGCTTAGCAAAAACTAGTTAGCGTAACAATAATCCGATTTACACAATAAAGCAGGACGGGTCGTGTCAAAACAAGGTCCACTCCGTCCTCGTTTCCAACTGTAACAGTTGTAAAATTGGCCATTACTTGTTTTCTGAATTGATTCCTTCACAACGGTAATTGTTTTACCCGATAAAAGCCACGGCACGAATCAACTCCACTAAGCTCTAAATAACTGAAATCACTTTCGGATGCTGTTTCAGGAGCAGTTCCAGAAAATTCAGAAAGGGGTGGCCGCGGTTCACTGGGCCGACCTCTAAATCCGCCCATGTGTTTTATAGAGAAACACATTGTGGAGTTGGTTCTATTACTTCACGTTGAATATATTGAAGTATCATAATAGCATCACAAGAACGTCAACATTCCTTGCCGGGACAATGACTGACGGGCTTTTTATGGAAAATTCTATCAATCTTTTATCCCTTAATTCACCTTTTTTAAATTGCCCAAAATACACCTTGCTTACCCCCAACTCCTAAAAGTATTGCATAACCATTGTTTTAAAATTCGTACAGTCGCCCCTACAGAAATTGAAGTCAATGCTTATGCAAAACGTTTGGGGGGGCGGTAAACAAGGTGTATTGTAGGCAAAGTTAGCCTGAGAAAACAACCAACATTTCGCGACGCAATCATTGGTTTTCCCGCATTATACTACTACATGAGAAATTTACGTTTGAGGAGAGAGCGTAAGAAATTCCTACATGTGAAAATTACAAAACCATTGACCTGTATAAACTTCCCAGATTTTGGTACAAATTGCTTCTGAGAGGTCGTGCTGTCACTTCCCAGATTTTGGTGGGAAACTCACTTCAACCCATCAAAAGCACCCCAGATCTGCTTGATAACACGTCATCAGCATGGGATTTCTGCGCTTGTTCCTCAGATGTCGTTTCGCGGGGAAACCTGGGGTGTCGTCGCGATAAGTCGGCTGTTTTCTCAGGCTAGGGCAATGTCAAAATGGTGAATATTAAACCATGGCACGAAAAAAAGGAAGGGACCAATTAATACAGACACAGAGGTTGACAAAAATTGGTTTTGTGCAATCTATTCTGAACATACTTTGGTCACAGTTTTTGCCTGCGAATCTTTGAGGGCATGAGCAGCTATACCCTCCTCTAGTGTTTTGGCAACGGCCGCCATTTTTACAGGGATTTAAGGCAGCACATTCATCCACATCTGAAAGGAAAGAGAAGTAACTTTAATCGTTGTTTTTACGTAATGTATAATACACAAGGAAGAGTGTTTTATCCGATATCCAAACACTGACGCGCACCGACCTCGAGGGATCTTGATGTCAAATGAAACACAATTTGGAGTGGTGGAAATAACATTTTAAATCATCAAAACTCTAAGCAAACGTTTGTTCATAGCCAGTCTTCTAACGTGCAACTCTTACGCTTGCCAAGTTATTGTAACGATCTCGTACTTTATTATTGATCTTCGGCTTATGTTTTTTACTATCTATGCTATTAGAATTCCTTACTCCGGCAACAGATTTAGAAGCTGCTTTACCAACCTTCGTCACAATTCTTTCCCTTGTAATTTGCAGGACATCTGCAGTTGTAACTACCAACAGAGTTGGTGCAGGTTCCTCCGTTTTTGCATGGCCTGTATGCCGTACATTCATTCACATCTACGGGAAACGTGAGGTGTAAAATTATGCCTTGGCACTTTGATATCGTTAGATGAAATAAGAGGAAGTGTATACTACATGGCAGTCAACACTTCAGATGTGACGACAGGCCGTCATCGAATTGAAGCCTAATTATTCTTCGACGTGGTCTAATTTATCTTGTGAATTAAACTTGACATTATGGCTGGATGAGTGAAAGTAAAAACCATCCTGCGAGAACAGACCCCTATTTCGGTGTGTGAAACTAAAGCCGAAAAGGGCCTCTGCTCTCGCAAGCTCAAGCAAGACTCAGATTAAGCCCAAATTTTCAAGTGGCTTTCTTGGTGTATACAATTGGCTTAAAGGACTTAGACAACCGAATTACGACAGCAGTCACTCAGACAATGCAACAGAGAACATCACGGCTTAACTGCGCAGATGATCAATAACACCTCGACGTAATTGACCAATCAGATCAATAACCAGAGTTTTACACCATCAACTGACGTGATACAACTGACTTTGACTCTGAAGATTACTACCGCACAGGTTGTCGAAAAGTCGGTCACTGTCAACAACAGTCCTATTCAGGACTAAGTTCACCGGACGATCATACTCAACCTTCTTATGAAATGACTCCTGGGTTCAAACCTTTCACAGAGAACAGTCAGCCAGCTTATTCATTTTATTCGAGAAGTAGAGGACAGAGAATCATACGACAACGTATCACCCCACCAAACAAAAGGTATGACTTCAGATTCTGATAACCAGATACCCACAGATTACTTACTCTACAATCGGATCTTCAACTTGTGGGGTCAGTTGTCGATAATTCTAAACCGTTTTAATTTATTCAAGCGACTAACCTTGATCACAGTTCTTTCCAGTAAATCCAGGGTCACATGTACACCTGTAACTTCCGTGAGTGTTGGTGCATGTTGCCCCATTCTTACAGGGGTTTTTGGCGCATTCATTAACATCTACGCATAAAACAATGAATGAAAAATACGAAAATCAGAGAATTAACCCACCTCTGTACGTTTTTCGCTTTAAAACATAGTTTACCTTTTTTGTTAATCACTTGACGTTTAATAATTACCACAAAAGTTAGGATAAATCATTTATTAAACTGAACTGGGAGTAATATATACCCCTGCTGAAACAATGGCCATTTTCTTAACGTGTGGGGGAGTGGGTACGAATACCTAATATTGATTGAATCGAAAAATTAAGCACGTCACCAGAAAGAAAATTCAAACATTAGAACCTAAACAGACTTTGAGTGTTTTTGCCTTAATATCTGTAATTTAAGAGGGAGAGCTTTGGTGAATTGGAGGGATGCCTGACGTTGATCCTCCAATCCCTATTAGTAATACTCTTTACATATGTACTTTCGTCTAAAGTAGGGTAAAAAGTTTCAGAAGCATGCGAAAAGTCTCGCTTGAATTTTCCAGGAGTTCTCCTCCCGTGGAATTTCCACCAGTGACAGTTATTTCATCCATTTTTTGACCGAACGTTTGATTACGGACAGTTTGTGTCTAACCTTACCGACCGATCAACAACACCATGTCCAGTAGCATGCGTGGCTGGCTGGATTGTTATGCGCGCGGTACTTTCTTGGCGGCGGAGCCGCGAGTTGACTCCAAGTAATCTTCTCGCGGCTCCGCCGCCGAAATACAACAGTATTCACACGCTAATCCCGCCAGCTGCGCAGGGTATATGTCCAGAGGCCGCTACCCAACTCTAATACCTTTGTCACAATGCTCCCCTTGGAAGTTGGCCGTACATTGGCAAGTCAGACTGTCGCCATTTGGTGAGCAGGTCGCTCCATTCTTGCAGGGATTGCTAAACTTACAGGCATCTGTTAAGTTTAAAAATTATTACATTTTAAGCCATGTGAACGTCGTAAAAATGGGCGAGATAATAAAATGTCTGCAAGCATTGATAAAACAGAAATGACATCAGGTCAAAAAAGCGATATTAAAATACACACAAACTTAAAAGAAAAGTTACTGTTTTAAGCACCATCTTAAGTTCAACTTACTATGTCCTTTGTTTCCACAGTAGCGGAACCAGCAGCCGGGTGTTTTTGGCAGGTAATACACCAAGTATGCCCCGCAGTTACGGACCTTGACATTAACTTGCCAATGGCAAATTCTGCTGCTCCAGTGAAAGCAGACCTTCCTGGAGACCGCTCCTTCGTCCTTGCTAGGATGTTGACCATTAAGCCAGCCTGTTGCGTGGGTTCCACAGTGATCTTTCGGCACTGGTGAAGTAGGCATTCTGGTTCCTGCAGCATCCATAAAGCGGTACCAACTGACGTCGAGGTCGTTTTGGTCACATTTGAGTACGTTTCCTCTGTGTAAACCCGAGGCACGGTCAGCATCGTTAAGCTTTTTGTAATTCGAACATTCACTTGGGTCTGCAGAAAGGCAAAATGATAAGTTTTACTTCAATGTTTGAGCGGAAATTGTCGTCACTGGTACATCCCAAGATCTGACTTCATAACCTTAGACATCTTAATATTATGTTTGAATTACTGAAGGCATCCATTTCCCTTGTTATCGTACCAATCCACTTCAATCTGAATTCTACACTAGCTGACGTTATGAAAACAAACCTTGGTCGCAGTGTTTTCCCGTAAACCATTTTCCCACACAGTTGCAATTATAACCACCTCGAGTGTTCTCGCACTTGGCACTGTTTTTGCAAGGATTCTTAACTGCACACTCGTTCACATCTATGAAAGAAGCAAAGCAATTGACCAGTGGTATGTCGGTGTCATAAACAAGCATTCATAATAGCCAACCACTCAAACAGGAAAATTATTCCTATTTTTCTTACCTTCATCGCAGTGTTTTCCCTTGTAATTTGCAGGGCACCTGCAGCTGTATCCACCCACGGAGTTGACACAAGTCGCTCCATTCTTGCAGGGGTTACCAACTTTGCACTCATTCACATCTTAAACGGAGAACAACAGATTTGATTAGTAGGTTGAGTAAGATCGTCTGGGTGAACTTAGTCTGAAGATGACTACCGCACAGGTTGTCGAAACGTCAGTCACTGTCAACAACTGTCCTATTCGGGACTAAGTTCACCTGGATGATCATACTCAGCCTACTTATGAAATGACTCCTGGGTTCAAACCTTTCACAGATTAAAAATTGCTAAATTAAAGATACTCACCTTTTAGTCAATTTAAGCTCGCTAAATGGCCATAGCTGGCTAAAACCGCCCATCTGATCGGTTTCTTACCTTGATCGCAGTTCTTTCCAGTGAATCTACTGTCACATGTACACGTGTAGCTCCCACGAGTGTTCGTACACTTTGCTCCATTTTTGCAAGGATTATTAGCACATTCATTGACATCTACGCCGAAGCAGAAAATCAAGTTATTAAACACAACTTTGAAAAAGTGCCTAAATAGAGCATAAACTGCTTCCTGTTGAGTTGAAAGACGATCTAATTTTTTCCTGGAGATTGTCCTCACCCTCGCCATTGTGTTTTCCCTTCGTAATTGGTATAAAACATCAGGGCCGAGTTGTTCAAAGCTGGGTTAAGATAGCCCAGGGTTAGTGCGAAATTTGAATTCAGAAATGAAAGCTTAGAAAAGAAAATTCAACCCTGGGTTAAGCGCTAATTGGCCTTCGAACAACTGGGTCCTGAGATGTTTCGCAATTACATTGGTACAACACTGGTAGCTGAATTACTTTTATACGGTGCCTACCTTGATCACAGTCTTCCCCTTGGTAGTTAGGAGGGCACTGACAAGTGGTGTCATCACCATCTGGCTTACAAGTTGCTCCATTTTTACATGGGTTGCGTACCTTGCAAGTATCTGAAAAGATGGCATTGATCAATATTGATCAATACAATTGTAACACTGATCAATATTGTTCATTTTAATGACAGCTGTACCTCTGCTTTTTTCTTGTGGATGATTTAAATGACAATTAATCATATTTTGTCAATGGAAATTTGTTTTTGGTGACCCAATAGTGATCTGAACACCCTCTGATGATATGGTGTTTACACCATCGGACCAGGGCGCTGCTGGTAGCCTGTGACAGTGTATGACGCGAATCCTGTGTTCTGATTAGCTCCCGAGTGGGCAAGATAGGGCCATCTTACCCGCTCGGGATTTCCCACGTTGGCCATATAACAAACCCTTTATTGACCAAGATAGCTGGATATTGGCAAGGTTTTTTTTTTGGGCAATTTTAGCGAACTTGGTCAATATCTAGCCATCTTGAACCCAAGCTTGTTTCAAAACGCATGCATCAGTTGCATGTATAGACAACTCACCATGTCCATTGTTTCCACAGTACCTAAACGAACAACCTGGCGTACGTCCTAGGTGATACACGTAGAATGCTCCACAGTTACGAACGCTAACATATATTGACCATCTGCAAGTGTTGCCGCTCCAGTTGAAGCAAACCTTTCTGGACACCACTCCTTCTTCCTTTTTGGGATGTTTACCATTAAGCCATCCTGTTGCGTGCGTTCCGCAATGTTGTTTAGGCACTGGAGAGGTAGGCATTCTGGTTCCTGCGGCACCCTCAAAACGATACCACTTTGCAATATTGGGAAAGTCGTTTCTGTCACACTTAACCGTTCTTCTGTCGCTAAAACCGGACGCGCGATCAGCAGTGTTAAGTGGGGTGTAACTTGAACATTCCGGAGGATCTTGAAAAAAGTCATTATGTTTTTCATTAATAAGAAAGGGAGCCCAAAAAATTAGAATGTTGCATTTTCTGACATATGACAAATTCTAAGCTGATTTAAACGTATGTAATTACAAATCAAGTCAAACAATTAATTTATACAGCTTAACTTCAGTCCACCAGTGAAGATTATAAATCGTCGGCGATATCGTAAAGAAAAACGTCCCTTAAAATGTAGCATTCCTGTACCTCTTCGTTTTGTTAAATATTTTTTGCATGGCTTTACTGCTACTGGATTGAAATCGTGAAAATTTTCAATGCTATTTGCTGTTTGTTCTCAGAATATCATAAATAATTTAATAAATATATTTTTACCTTCATCACAATGCTTCCCAGTGAACCAGCCACCTTCGCAGTTGCACTTATAACTTCCAACAGAGTTTACACATTTACCTCCATTTTTGCATGGTTTGGCGGCACACTCGTCAACATCTAAAGGTAATGAGATTTTAGCACTCTTAATCTATTACATACCATATGAAACGATTTGCTGAGAAAGCAGAACATTATATTTTTTGGTAATTTTCCATCAGGTAAGAGAAGAACTTGCAAAATTTGGTCCACTTTTTTCGAGTTGCAATCTATTAATTTTCTAGCCAAGTCAGCGACTGTCAAAGGTAAACTCGCACTTATGGTTTAATGGTTAGAGTAGTGGAGTAATTATGAAAAAAACGGACAGCTACTAGTAAGGTTTCTTTGATGCCGACGTTTTTGTAGTTTTAAAACGTTACCCCAGAAAGATGGTGAAAGAGTTCCTTTAACCGGAGCGGAGAAGTTTTTGAAGTATCAATATAATTCACCTTGTGTGATCAAGTAATTCATTCTCGTTACCACTATGTTTCATAGACCATAAACTTTCAGGGAGAAAATTGATACTGGTCATTCTTGGGCTTTAAAAGGTTAACTAACCTTCATCGCAGTTCTTTCCTTTATAATTTGGTGGACAGCTACAAGTATATCCGCCTACAGTGTTGACACATGTGCCTCCATTCTTGCAGGGCTTATGAACATTGCATTCGTTAACATCTAAATAGCAAAATTCAGTTGTAAATACATTATTTAATTTACATGTGGTTTGAAACCCTTAGATATGTGGACAGCATCCTCTGGTGTGGCCATTCAACTGAGACCTTTTAGAAAGTCCTTACAAGGTATGAATTGATTTTACTGAAATATTTCAAGATTGAATTTGAGCTTTATTCTTTAATATTATACATGGGTATTACTGGGATGACCTGTTTAATCTTCTTCCCAATACCCTTGAGCTAGAGAGATCAATCGTTCGTGCGGGAAGGCTTAGTTTGATTTCCTGACTTAATGAAGTTTGATGAGTCGTAATGAACGTCAAATGCTGTAAGTTTATGTGCAATTTATCCCCAACGTGTGACTGAATCTCTAGGTTATCCTGCACGCTCCCGGCCCTACCTCACTAGCTACTTCTTACTATTTCTTCTGTTGCAGAATTACTAACACAATTCAGAGAATTTGTCTTCAGTGGAAACAAAATTGTACTCTCTACAATATCAGGGCTATAGTGTTCCTTACAACTTGTGACGCCATCCTCACTGAAGATGGTGTTGGCTATTATCTTGGCCTTTTGCTTAAAATTCGCGTTCTAACTGCCAGTAGCCATAAAAACAGGGGCAGCCAATGGATCTGTTCCTCAAAATATCTGTTCTTCAGGCCAGGTTTTACTGGCTGAGATATGTGGAAGAAACGATATGTCCTTGGAAGGAAAATGTTGCTGGGAGAAAGATAATTTAGGGTGTCTGAGGGGATTTGGTGTCTGAAGGGTTGAATTTCGCTGTTAGGTCACACCTAGCTTTGTACCACCCCCCTTCCCCCCAATGAAGTTCTGAATTTTGCTCTATGACCACACCCCAACTGGGCAGTAATGCCTGGACATAAGTCTGCTGGGAAACTCCTCAGTAAGTCAGGTTGCAGGTTGTAGGTGCACCTTGCTGGCTGGGAACTCTTCCATCAGTCTTGCTGGAAATGAGGAACAGATAAATTTTTTCAAGCAATCTCCCAAAATGCCTAAAATGGTTTCAGAAAGATTTATTCATGCTTTGTTGTTCTTTTAAGGCCTTTTTCTCAAAATTTTCCATTGGGTGCCCCTGTAAAAATGAAGCGTTTGTGAGGGCTTTTACCTGTCTCACAGTTCCTTCCGGTGTATCTCGCACCGCACGAGCATTTGTAGCTTCCAGGTTGGTTGGTGCACGTTCCACCGTTCTTACAAGGATTACTGACAGCACATTCGTTTATGTCTAAGGAATGTAAAAAAATGGAAATCGAAAAAATATATTTATTCCTCTTCCCCTTTGAAACTGAGAGGTCTAGGTTTAACAATATCTTTAACAAAAATTGCTGCTCCCCATAGACAGGGTGGTAATCCGTTTGGCTTCTCCAGACTCACTAGGATACTAACTCAGCTAAGTGTGTTAATCGCTGTGGCTTTGTAGCAATCCCTCTCCCACAAACCTATAAGTGGTAGACCCCAAAACCAGTGTCGACGTCCCATTTCCATCAGCGCAATAGAATCTTTACATCTTCTTCGTCTTGATAAGAAATAACAGAGGAGAACGCCTATTTGTATGATCATCTGAACTGAGAACCCTTTTTAGCCAGGATGGCCGATAGGCCGCAAATTATTCTCAACATCAGAGAAAATCGCCTGCAGAATTTGATCGAACAGAATTAAGGAATTAAGAGAGGGTATTATCCTTGTATTTATTAAAAAGTGTCTCCCTTTCGTCAGTATAAAGCATACCTTTGTCGCAGTTCTTCCCTTGATATCCTGATTTACAGTGGCAGAAATAGCTGTCACCTTGAGGCTGACATATTCCACCGTTTTGACATGGGTTCTTAGGCTCGCAAACATCTAACGTGGGAAAAATAGAAAACAGTTTAGCATCTTCGTGACACTGCAAATACTAGATACTAACTGTTGAGACCCTCTTGAGGAGGCGGGGATTGTATGTATGTCCCTATTCTGTTAAAAGAAACCCTCCGTTTTGTGTAATAATGTAGTTACGCCTGACTTCCTCGCTATCGCAGTTTCAACCCACCTTTGTTTCGTTTGTCTTCATTTATCTGTCTCATGTCGCTGTCTCTAGGCTTTTCGGAATTTCACCCTATCACTAAGGCGGGAAAAAATTGTTTGCATCTCTGCTATGTAATGAGTCCCCAATAGGGTTCTTCAATCCCGTGACTCTTGGCATCCTACCTCCCGCACACTTTCAATCCCCAATCTCGTCCCAATTTTGCTTTAGAATCCCGAATCCCGACCATCTATTAAAAACTTACTGTGTCCTTTATCACCGCAGAAGCGAAGATAGCATGCAGGAGGCTTTTCCAGCTTGTAAACATAATGTCCACCGCAATTCCGCACCTTGATCGTAACTTTCCAGCGGCAGCAGTTGTTACTCCAGTGGAAACATACCTCCCTATTTACTACTCCGTCTTCCTTCTTAGGGTGCTCGCCGTTCATCCATCCGGGAGCGTGGGTCCCACAGCGTTGGGTAGGAACACAGGAGTTTGGCATCTTGTTTCCGGCGTCACCAACAAACTGGTGCCATTTTCCAATTGTTTTTAGATTCCTCTGGTCGCATAGCAGGACGCTTCTTCTCAAAACGCCAGAAGCGCGGTTCGATTCACTTAGTTTTGTGTTGACTATGCATTCAGTAGGAGCTGTTTTCAACAAAAAAAAGCGTAAGTATTTTGCAGAATAATCAACAGGTAATTATGTCAGCATCCTCCTGAGAAACTCCTTCATCAGATACTGTGAACGTACACATTACAGATTACACACATTATACTTTCTGAGGGCCGTTGGTGGGCAAGTGCAACCCAAGGTATTCAAAGAAAGCAAGAGAAAGCAGACAGCTGGTTTTTAAACAAGTGAGATAACTGTATTTGCGTAGCATTCATGAAAATTGTGTGCTTCCGAGGCGAAATCCATCGAAACTTTGTACAATACTGGTGTGAATCTGGCAGGTGGGAAATAGGAAAATATACCTTTTGCTTGTCATTACCTGAAATTGTACTTTTAAAATAGCAGTCATCAGTTTCATTCCTCTTTTCATCGAAATGAAACTAATAACTGCGTTATTGAAAGCCTATAAGTTTGCTGATGACCAGCAAAAGGTTTTTGTTTTCCCTGTTTTATCGAATTCGCCACGGTGACAGGGGATGAAACAGGACTAACGTTCCAATTGACATCAACCTCTTCACTACCCACCCAGCCCATGACAGGTTATACCACACCACCGGGGTTTACGTCCCCTACTCTTTACGAACAGCAGTGTGGGTAACGTCCCGAGAGAATCAGAACGGTGAAAGAGCTGTGAGACGGGGCCTACGGTTTTCCGTTTTTTATCCAAGAAGACTAGAATGTCTAACCATTTGTAGATGTCACAACAAAGGTCACAGTGTACTAACGAATACGAGGGTCTAGCTTTTGTTTCTATCGTAGTACCGTGTTATAATATCTACTGACTGGTAATTTCACGTAGTGTGGTTTATTACACTGTCCATGACGCTATTTAGGATTAGGGTGAAAATGATTATATGTGTAACATTTTTGACAGAACACGCAAATCTGCTACCGCGATTAGAGAATAAATTAACAGTTACTGGGGTTAAGACTCCGCTTACGTTCATTGCAGTTCTTTCCAGTGAACCATCCTCCAACACACTCGCATTTGTATCCTCCAGGTGTGTTTGTACACTTGGCACCATTCTTACATGGACCACTTGCGCATTCATCAAGATCTAAACAATTTTAAAAGTAAATAATCAATGTAGAGCTTCGTATGGCAATGGTGCGATCACAACCATTTCTTTTATTACTTGGAATATAGAGCGTTTTCGCATGACGTCAAGAAGACCATATTGATATTCTAACACAATGATACAGCGGCCATGTTGGCGGTGTACACGACAATCCTTTGGGAGTTTAACTCTTTTGTTTTGTAAAAGCAAGCTTTAAAAGTTTGGCCCATCGTTTTCAACGTTTTTGGAATTCAGTTGATGCGAAGACAAGTTTTAGCTTTGTAGAAAGATGGCGTGACATAGGCCCCTTAAACAAACCTGTAGAATACAATAACCTTTATATCAAGGTCCATGACAGTGAGATTGTAATTGGTTTAGACCGTGTCTCTTGAGTAAAACTCACCTTCGTCGCAATTCTTTCCCTTGAAACCACTCGGGCATTTGCACTGGTAACCACCAACTACATTTGTACATTGCGCACCATTTTTGCAAGGCTTATGTACGTTACAGATATCGCCGTCTGCAGTGGAATATCAGAAAACAATTATTTTTATGCGGCACTTGGAGCACTAGGATAAATGCCAAAAAAATCTATCCGAGACAAGGTGGGTGAGCAGTGACTTACTGAAGAGCTACCTGAAACAGCAGACATTAAACCTGTCAAAAAAAAGCAAAGCAGCGTAGATGAACGAAAAAGTGAGGCAAGAACAAAATAGCGAATGCAGCATGTCGATGACCTGGGCGCCAGGAGAAAAAAGACTAAGAATTTGAAACGTCGATCTTCCATTTTTTCTGTTTCCTTTCATCATTTTTATCATTCAACAAAAACATTTATTATAGCATTCCTAAGGGTTTTTAGATATGATTTGGCCATATATTTTCGTCGACGAAAATATCCCTTTAGTTTGTTTCTCTTAAAGTATTAGTTAAAATAGATGAATCTGGCTCTCCTCTTGAGAATGAACAGGGCGGATTTCGTTGACGTACCACGATGGGGCTCTGAGGTTTTGTCCTTTACTAAGAGTAACAATATTTTTCTTTGAGGTGTGACCCGTGGCACAGTCTAAACTTACCCTCGGTGCATCCATAAAACTCTACCCTCATGGATATGTGACCGTGCCAGACCTTCGGCTTGATGCGTACGTATTGTGCTGTGATTGGTGGATTGATGGTCTCTGCTGTCTCGGTATAACGGTCACTACTACCTTGGAATTCCTGGACAATGAACAATAGACAATTTATAAGTTCAACCTATACAGCTTCTTGTTAGTGCCATGCCTACATAACTGACGACGTTACTCTGAATACACGACTTCATCTTAGCTTATAAGTAAGGTTATGCTGCGAGCAGAGGCTCTTCGATCATTTTGCAGAGTAAAGTAAGTATAAAAAAAACATTTAAATTAGGCGAATACTTCCCAATAACAAAAGAAAGTGATTACCACCAGACAACATACCCAGACAAGAAGAGGTTATATAAAAGACGCACAACTGATATTTCTGTTTTCTTTGAAGGGTCTTGATATCGGAAGAAACACTTAAATAATACGACTGTAATCAATATCTTGTAAAGAACATTTTGAACGAAAGTTTGCCAATCCCCCGACTCCAAACCCCAATCATTATAGTTGACGGTCTCAACGATTGATAAAATTTGTTGGTTAGAACTTACCGTCACTTTTCCATTGAGTTCATAATCCTTCCAGTTCTTTCCATCAAAACTGTAAGCCAGTGTGTATACCGTCACCCACTGATCGTAGTCCATACGACCCTGAATACCAATGCTACGCACCTTGGCCACCACATCAAACTTGGCTTGAAACCACTGATGAGCGTCATTAATCTTAGCGGACCAGGCGCCGACTTTGCTTCCTGTTTTCTGGAAATGAAGACGCCCTTGGTCTGGACTATGGTTGCTGTCAGCTGAAGATGAAGCTTGCAGGGCATCTGCTTTAATTCGTCTACTCTGCATTCCGAGAGCTTCCAAACATTGCGGGGGACTGGGTGGGACAAAGCCTGATGAAAACGACGTTGTTAGTACAAGGGTTGATCTTTAGGGATACACTGTTTTTGTCTAATCAAAAAGGCGGTAATGGAAGCCCGGGGGTACTCTTGAAAAATCTTAATGGGGGTGTACCAACCGGTTCTCCGAATCCTAACCCAGTTTTAGACCAAAAAAAGTAACTTTCCACCCCCGCTTTCAGACCTGGCCACTAAACTCCAGACCCGCTGTCAGGCCTGAAATTACTTAGGGTAGAAGGCTAACAAAATATTATATGCATATTACTCTTTCTTTCTTATTCATTTGGAATGGAAACGACAAATACGTTCATACACTCCCGTAGTTCCTTCGAAAATCATACCCGATTCCGGACCAAAATGGGCAAAGTGTATACCCGTTTTCAGACCAAAAAGGCCCAAAAATCCTACCGTATGGGGTGGCACATACCTATGTGGCTTATATAAGGGAGTACCCCCCGCCCGATGGAAGACATTGTCAACAGAGAGATGGAGTGTCTTCGAGATATTTCGATGGCTTTCCAGTGTCGTTTTGAATTTTTAAAGGATTTAGCCTTAAGCCATTTAACTTCGGGCTGCGAATAGAGATTACTTTTCACCTTCTCGATTTGAACTGGCGTACGAAAAGGAAAGGGGCCTTTTATCAAGGCGACAGCCTCTACCCTAACATTCACTTTGCTCTCAAATGAAGTTGTACAATTTACTCCTTTCACTGAATATGTACCGACCTGTCTTGCAGCCATACAGCTCGAGTCTCAAGGAGATGTGTCCATGGAAGCTTTCAGGATGAAGTCGAATATAACGAGTGTAAATAGGCACATCTAACACATTTACTTTCACAGTGTTCCGGTCATTGTTTCCAGTAAAGATCTAAAGTAAAGGAAACAAGTGTGAAAGAACAAATCGAAAGGGCAGATTTAAAGGATGGCGGCGGCTCCCCTTTGATCTGAAATTGTGTTCGAAAAAGTTTAAAGATTTCTTAGTAAACTCTGTCCTAGAGCGTTATTTTTGAACGAAGATGCTGTCGGAGTTCTTTAAACCATACATAAACAGTATTCTTATGGCTGGCCAGTCTCTCGGACCCCTGTTTCTGAATTTCCTAGATTTGCCCCTGGAGGCCTGCTGACGGAAAAACAAATTGTACAATAAGACTGCAATTTATCGTACAATAAATAATTTATATTTCTATTCTTAACCTGTGCTCCCCAAACTAGCAACGAACCGATTCGTGAGGGCAGTTTGTCAAAATGATTTGAATGATAATCTGATTAACAGTCATTGTAACGCATTTCAGCAATAAATTAAAGGCACTTACAATGGGTTTATTTTCGCCATATGTCTGGTAGTAGCCATTGTTGATACTGTATGATAGCCAATATGACGTAACCCACTGATTATAATCACTCCTTCCCTGAGTCATAACCTTGGTTATCTTGACAACCTTTCCAAGATCAACCTAAAACAACAGCAGTTAGTTGTTAGTGTTGTACGTAACCGCCATTAAAATTAATGGTTGTCTCGCAGATCGCTTCCCGGTTAGCTCAATTGGATATGCGCTGGTCAGCCGCGCCAGAGGCCGCTAGCTCAAACCCCAGCCGGACCAACGCTCAGGGTCTTTAACTAACTGAGCCCGAAAGTGCTGTCTTTCAAAAGGCATATGCAAAACGGTTAGACTTTCTGGTCTTCTCCGATAAGGACCATAAAGCGTAAGCCCCCTTTCACAACCCTGGCACATACAATAAATTTGTGGGACGCTAAAAAAATCACACACTTGTCGTAAAGGGTATAGCGGACGTAGTCCCGCTGTGGTGGTCTATCTCAAATTCACACGTCACACAGGGAGTAAGTATCATTACTCTTTCCTTCATTGTATATGCAGTCTGGCAAAAGTCCAACCTCGTTCCCAGGGTTTGCTCCTCCTATCCACACCCTAGGAACGAGGTTGGCAAAAGTCCCCCAAGCAGGGGGATAAGATAATTATTTACTATTTTCAGTATAGATTGGTTTATTGACTGATCGACTGATTAGTACTGACTGACTGGTTAATTATTTGGTCGGCTGACTCGCGGACTTGAAAGACTGGTTGATTTTTAGGGTTTATGTTTGAACTTATCCTCTTTCTAACATACAGTTGCCTTAGAAAATACTCTTAATCATTTAAAAATGGATAGGGGGTGTTACGCATTTTCGCCTTAACATGGACGTGACTGGTTTGTTTCTCTTCTCTCCTCAGTTAACAGTTCATCTTCTCCCTCCTCGTAAATAATTAGGCCAAGGGAAGACTGTACAATGAGACAACGTCCCATTATACGTGGGTAAGTAACTGTACCATAAGCTACGTAAGTAGTCCTTTTTAAAACTTGGTCACATGCTTGGATACCAATTAACAACGGCGAGTTGGATCATTCAGATCACAAAGCTTTAAGCGCGATCGGGCGAAGCCTTGCTAGGTTAATTCACTTGGTCTTTCATGACCTCGTCCTGTCCGATCTCAGGGAGTTTTTGTTTGTTCTTATAGATGAAACAGGCAGTAGATATTGATTACCTGGTTGTTGAAAACTTAAGTGCAGGATGCTGTTATCTCAAGTAAAGCGTGCTTCTATGTCTTAATCTCATTACTATCAGTCAAATTCATTTTGTAATATATAAGAGGACGTCTTTGCGAGAGACTGCAAATACAGTAATAATACAATCGCTGGCTAATTGCAGGTTGCTACCTGAATAAATTGTCCTTTGTCGTTGTACTTCGCTGACCAGGCCCCACGTTTTGCTCCCACGTTAGCTATATTAAGCCGCGCCCGGTCTGGGCCATGGTTACCATCCCACTGACTAGATGCTGTTATAGCGTTGTCAGGAATATCACCATTTTGAATTCCAAGGGCTCCCTCTTGACACTTTGGACTAGGCTGAGGTGGAGGTGCTCCTGGATTAAAGATAAATTATTCTATTTAATACATACTAAAACCTTGGATAGCAAGATTTATGAGTTAATATACCTTGACACGACTCGTCCAAAATCATCTGCAGTTTGTCTTTCAAGGCATCAAAATCGCTGACTTGAACCACGTATTGATCATCGCTCATGGCAATCTGACGAAGCTCCCTACGATTAATTCCATGTCCAATTCCAACAGCCACGGTCCTCACTCCGCGCTCCTAAAAACAACAACAGAGAATTTAAGCAGCGACGTTTTTGACCGACGCACGTCATCCGGAAGAGGACATGTTACACTCTTGAGCCGTGATTGTGAACAATTTTTTTTGCAAATCGTCTCTATAAGAGCAAAGAAACTTAGACATACAAATTTGGTAGCGTCAAGGTATTTTAAAAGAGAAAAAGGCTCACTTCCGGTTAACGTGCGTCGCTTAAAAACGTCGCTGCTTAAACTCCAGGAGACCGTCAACTCTCTCTCTTTCTTTCTCTCAAACAGCCATGCAACCCTTATCCGAAAGATTAAACTCCCTGCCTTACAATTAAGAGGCTAAACATGTCTAAACCTTAGCACTTATAGTAACGCAGGATTTCAAGTTGAAGTCAGACTGACCATAGCACTACAGTTTTTCCACATATCATCGGTCCAAACAGTTGAGTATAAAAATTATACACATACACGCAGTGGTTCTTCGTCTACCTTTCCTGGTCGAATTTGAATTTGGAAATATTGGTTTTTGAGGATAGGGGTAAACCGGAGTACCTGGAGAAAAACCTTTAGGAGCAAAGGAGAGCACCAACAACAGACTCAACCCACTTATGGCGTCGAGACCGGGATTTGCAATTGAGCCCGTGCCACATTGTTGGGAGGTAGGGCACCACTGCGCGACCAAAGCTCCTCTACTGTTACAAGTATCAAATAATTTTTACTTGAATTACTTCACTCGACGAAATAATAGATTTGCTTCACATTTGCTCAAAACAAATGTGATGCAAATTTGTGCAAAATGAGGGATAGCAAAGTTGGTGCAAATCCATTGAAAATTTCTTTACGAGGGTATCGCAAAAAGCTGATATGCTAGTGCACACAGACCTGAAGTGGACGAAGTACTTCGGGGTAAGGCTTGCTTCCTCTGTTTGTCTTTCCATCCGTGAGCACAATCAAAACGTTCGGTTTGTCTTTACGATCGCCACCAGCATCAGTAAACAACTTTTGGGCGGCCATTTCCAAAGCTCGATCGGTGCGTGTCCATTTTCCCGGGTAGGTGATCTCCATGACACGCTTCTTAAGTTCCACAATCTCGTAGTATTTTGTGTTTGCAAAGTCGAACTCTAACTTAGCATAGGTGCTGTATGTGATGACGCCAAAGTGCGTTGCTTTAGTGGAGATAATGAAGTGCGATATCAGTGACTTCACGAATTCTTTTCCCTTTTGGAAGTTGGCTTTACCCACACTTCCAGAGCCGTCTATAATGATTCCGACATCTAATGCCTTAGTACAGGCTGCAGAAAAAAAGCATTTGCAGAATTAATATCAGAATGTAAAGCTATTGGTGTAGGAAGTTAGCACTTGTTGAAACAGACTGAATGTACGGGCTTTAGGAAGTTCAAGTATAATGAACTACGTTCAAGCGATGCTGGGCAACTGGAAGTGGACTTTTTGCATTCTTGGGCCGTGGCTTTGGCAGAGGCTTCTGTTAAAATCGTCTCTATGAGAGTAAAGAACACTTAGCAATACAAACGTGAAAGCCTCAAGAAATATTAAGGAATCACTTCCAGTTGTCGTGCGTCGCTCAAAAAAGTTTTTGCTTAACCTCCCTTTTGTTAAGCATTGAGTTTATATAGAACGCCAAAAACATTAATTATCGGCCAAAATCTCTCCACCTAAGAATAGCACGTAGGAGCATGTTAAAAACCACGGATGTAACCTACGACATTAGTGACCTATTGTATATGTTTTTACAATGTCGGCTTACGTATTGGGCAAGGATTTTCAGCACATGCACCAGTCTCCTCAAATTCTCCCGAGCATTTCTGTCCGTTTCCCTTAGGAGGTGGATTGGTGCAAGATCTTTCGCGAACTTTAACTCCACCACCACACGACTTGGAGCACTGGGTCCAACTTGACCATTCGGAAAACCCTCCATCCACGTCACCTGCACCTGATAACGAAACACAATAATGATCAGACAAATTTACATCTAGTCCTTCTCTTAGCTCTTTTAAGTTACAAGAGTGACCAACAACGGAAGATCGAAACGATGGGACCTGAAAGTTACAGAGTCAACCATTTCACGTCTTACTTGAGTGTATCGCTGAAACAAAGGCTTTACACTTTTAATTCATTTCAAATGGTAGCGACTCTAGGCAGTTTTCTTGCATCCATGTATTTAAAGTGGTGAGAACCATGGCATGCGAGCAAGGTGTCAGGGTGACTCTGACGCCACCAGAGCCTCTCAAAGAGCTTGCCTGCAGGCTAAGACGATACAATGTGACAGAATCCACAAAATGATAACAAGTGATCGAGGGCCTTGTTGAGCATGATATGAATTCCACAAGACACCAAGAACAACATGATTATAACACCAGCACTAAACTAAATTTCAAGTGTCCAAGACTTCCAAGTGTCCAAAGGGACTGGGGCAAACAACGAACTGCATTTCATGCCATGAAGGATTCTAACTCCCTTAGCCAGACAATCAATGATTTTTGTTGATATCGTGTACATTTTAATAGTTTTTACATATTTTAGCGTTTAATTTTATAGTTGATTGTGTGTACTTTGTATTTTTTTAATCTTATGAGATCCTTTTTGAAAACCTTAAAAGATTATTATTTATTTATTTATTTATTTACTGTTTATTTATTACTTTGCAATCAAGTGTGAAATCAAAGACTGTGTTGACTCTCAGGGTTGGGATCTCATTTGCAACTCGTTTTACCTTGACAAGATTCAAGTAAGATTCTCTGTAAGTGGCTTTTCAGGTCATCGAAGTCATTCACATGAGTCACGTAATTCGGGTTGTTTGCAGCAATCTCTAGTAGCTCACTGTTGTCGACGCTTTTACCAATTCCAACAGCAACGGTTCGAACACCTTTCGCCTAGTCAAAGACCACAAACGGAATTTAACATTAACTAAATGTTAAGAGGCTGTCAGTTAGTACATACATAATTCCAACAGCTTTGTAATAAGCAGAGATCATGAATGCTTAAGATTAGGGAGTTAGGTCACATTTATACAAAATTCATCTCTTACTGACCCTCTATATACGATAAGAGTTGGCCGTTCTCAAGGACATGGACTTTAAACCTTTGGAGAAGGTCCTCTGAGTTTGATACCGCGCTCAGATTGTTTTTCTAAAAAGTTTTCTCTCAGAATTACCACAACAGTCCAGTTGAACAACCAGATACAAATTATTAACGAATATATAGAGGAAAGTAATAACTTTACTTCCCGAGATAATTTGAATGCCCATTATTTTCTTCACGATATGGATAGTTGTAGCGATCGATGCAAAAATGCTGTTTATTTTTTTGGCAACAACACGGCCCATCAGAGACCGTGTTGATACAACATTAAAGTTTTGATGTAGAGTATATGAAGTAATTGTAACTATCAAAGCTGAGGTTAGATAAAGTAGACCTCTTTATCTTCGATGACAGTTGCAATCCTGGTCCATACGTTTGGGACACTTAGGGCGCTCTCCAGTTGTCAGAAATGACCGACCCGATCGTTCTTGTCGTAAAGAGAATTTCACTTCAGCGAATTTCAGCCAGATCAGTCAAATCCTACGTAGTATATGCAGGAAGAAGATGTTTTCTCAGCAAAAATTCTTGGAAAAAGCCTATTTCATGGTCAAAATGACTGGTCCAGCCATGGTCCAGCCGGCCAGTTCTGACTTTTGGAAAGGGCCCTTAGTCTTTTATATATGATCTGTTCATTTTCAATTAATTCTCCTCCACCGCCCAAGGGCCTTGCTGGGTGTCAGCGATTAAATATAAGGTATATGGACTTCAACTTTGTTCGTGGGAGAGGTGGGAAACGTAGGCAAAGCCGTCATATTGTCGGTTAATGGAAAACGCCCTAAGAAAAGGGTGAGAGAAAAGAAAAGTGTCTCAGAACCCTTTCAGGGCTCAGGTTGTAGTTCAAAATTTCGGGGGCAGCTCTATTCAGCTGTTTTTAGCTTCCAGATATGATATCACTCTCAGGCTAACCTGTAATGGTTTCAAGACTTCTTTATATTTCTTACTACCGCTATGAGTTTTTCCATCAGTTATTATAATAAGCACATTCGAGGCGTCTCCTCTGTCACCACCATCGGCGCTGAAGATCTTATTTGCTGCCATTTCCAAAGCCCGATCAGTTCTTGTACCTCCCCCAGGGTACCTCAAAGCCTTAATAGCGTCCTTCAGCTTGGAGAGCGTATGGTACTCTGATTTTTTCAGGTTGAACTTCAGATATGCGGATGATTCGTACACAATGGCACCAACGTGGGTGCCCTGTGGCGAAACAGCTAAATGGCTGACGAGATCCGCGAAGAATGTTAAACCTTTGTCAAAGTTTGCTTTTCCCACACTTCCTGAACCGTCAATTATGAGGCCAACGTCCAATGCTTTCTTGCAAGCTTTGACGAAAACGAGAATGGAAGAAAAATGTATGTGAGTAAACTAGTATCAGATAGTCTACTTGGTCATCCCTTGTTGGTGCGCGTGAAATCAGCCTTTTCTCGCCCTCACAGATGCCAAAGTGTGTCCTGCTATCTATTGAAATTTCAGACTCGGGAGTACACAAATTTTTCACCCTAACTGGCAAAAGGATTTTCCATTAATTCGCCCTATTACAATGATTAAAACTTTAACTCCACTAACTTCTTCGAGGCTTGTACAGGGCTCTAATTCAGCGCAGTCGAAAAGATTTAACGCAATAAAAGAACCTGCGAAAACTGGAAGGAGAAAGTGGGCTACATTAAAGAATGGAAGAAAGGAAGTGGGGCCCTGTATTCTCTTTGTTGCAAACAGTAATACTGAAACAGTTACTCACGATCAGGGCACGGGTCTTCATTGCATTTTTCCTCCTCCTCAGGCTCTCCCAGATTAGCACAGCCTTTGCCATTCCCAGCAGGGGGAGGGTTAGTGCAGGTGCGTTCTCGTACTCTGGTTCCACCCCCACAAGTTTTAGTGCACAGTGTCCACTGCGACCACATGGAGTAACCACCGTTCACATCAGCTGGCTTCACTGAAAATATAAGCAATCCAAAACAAATCCACATGCTTGTTCGCACGACTAGAGCTCAACGTGCATTGTATGCATGGCTCGAAGTTGCAATTTGTAACTTTATTTGATTTACCACAAAATACAAATAACGATAAAACAAGACAGTTACACAAGAGCGAATGAAAGTGGCGAGGAAGCCCAAAAAGAAACCATGAGGCTTATAGACATTGGGCTCCCTCAGAGAAAAAAAAAAACTCGTGTCGCAAATGTCTAGCAGCACTGGTGCTCGAAATACCCATTCAATATATGCATTATTGTGTCGTTCTACTGTGTGAAGTTTATTATGTTATTGTGTAAAGGCTAGGGATCACTGTTGTGTTCTTTATGTGTTAACTCGAGACTTGCTATTCGCTTTGTAGACGGTGCACAAGCCGTAAAATGGCCTATTGGTAAATTAAATGAGACTTACAGTCTTTCAGTCGGTAGATATAATTGGTGCTTTGAGTTCCAACGCACTCCATATCTTTACTCTTGTCACAAGGTGGAAACCCCTGAACCAGCTCCTGGACGCACTTTTTAGGACCTGCTTCTCCGTAATTGTTGAATGTTGTCTCACCATTCTCCCCGCTCCAGCATTCTCCATAGAACTGTAAACCAAATACCTTCCAGCCTTTGGCACGAGTCGCGTTTGCACAGCGACAAGCAAGGCTTAAAATAAGGAGGGAAAGAAAAACGCAATTCTTATCAACTACCTTTTACATATATGTATACTTGGGTCAATGAAGGTTGCTTTGGGCATTGGGCAATTGCGTGCTAAAAAGCTTTTTTGTTAGTTGGTCACTCAAGCAAATCATTGAAGTGGGTTCGTTGTGGATCAGGAGAATTAAATACCCAATAGCCAATGACCAATGGCCAATTGACGAAGCAACATATGCGTTCATGACAAATAAAGAGGGATGATGAGGAGAGGAGACCCTTTTCTCGCCCCCCCCCCCCCCCCCCCCCCCCCCTCCCACCCCCACCTATTTTGTCTGAAATTGTGTTATCAACTTCAGGAATTTTCAGTAAAATTTGTCTTCCAGAACCATTTAAATTTTTGGCAACAGATGTTCTCAGAATTCCGTTGCCAATAAATCAGTAATAATGCATGTACCATAGTGTTTGCAAATTTCTAGTCCTCTTTCTGAATTTTCTGGATCAGGCAATTACGTTGACTTAACTGTATTTACTCATCAATTTTTTACGCCTTGGGAAGACTCAAAACTGATCTGGTGTACTGGAAAGTTACTCTTATTCTACCCCCTTCTGTAAAACGTTATGAAATACGTACATTCCCACACCAAGGAACTACGATATGGTCGCTGGGGGGCTATTTTACAAAGTTTTATACGGAGAGGCGACCCCTTTACCCTTTTAAATACAATTTTTGGCAGAAATGGCACCCTATTCATTTACCTTCATTTGAAACATGTGACCCCTTTCACATACCTCATAAGAACAATGCGTCACTTTTCTAAACCTTTGAAATAAAGTTAAGCCCCGAGGTGCACCTGTTTGCAACATTTTTATAAAAAGGCCCTTTTAAATATATATTTTTTGTCATTTCCCAGTGTATCATTTAAACGCATTATCTCACATCCCACTCCCTGTAGCCAAAATAGAATTCCAGGTCCGAGTGACTCAAATCTCATTTTCCAAGCCCGAAAGAAGGCAAATTCTGATTCTGCATTTTAGCCCAACAGGGCTCCATGAGGATTTTTCCTTGCTTGGCATGGATTTTAGTTTTGCAGTTATATAGTGTTTAGTGACTTGATAGCTTGCGTAGCAAGCGTTAGTTAAATCAGGCTGGCTTACCTGTGAATAGATTCCGGCCATTTGTGCCAATCAAGCACGTGACCATCGTTTGCGTCGCTATTTACATCTCTGTCGTTAACCAGGAGGTTGGGAAGAGTTCTAAGAGCACCCTGCTGTCCAGTCTTATCTACAAAACATCCAATCTTCTCGAACTGTCGCTCACATGTAGAATGCGGAAGAGGATCTGATATCGAAAATACATATTTAATTATCGAAAGTGCACAGATTATGAATAATTGCTGCCCCTACTTCAAATATCTGAAACTAACTTAACTTTTCAACAGTTGGTTCTCCCAGCTGGGGGAGGATTCATTCAAGAGAAACGGGTCATTATACATTTCTGGGAACTGCCCACCTACCCCTCCCCTAAGCCAACAATTTGCCTTGAGAAGTAAGTGTTAATGTTGGCTTAGGGGAGGGGTAGTTGAGCAGTTTCCCAGAAACGTATGGAAACAAAGCTTTTGACACAAAGCCCTTTTTTCTAAGCCCCGAAGTTGTCAACTGAAGACTAACCAATTAGCCCACCACTTAAATTGCCGCCTCTTATCGCTCTCTTGGCGTTTTTTTTTTTCTCTATAAGTTTCAGTCAACATGTTCCTGTGTGTGGAGAATGTTAAGTACAAATTCCATTCTTTTTCCTAAACGTACTGAATCAATTCAGTGTGTGTTCAAGGTATAGGGGAATCCTTCTTGACTAGTGCTATTTCTTTTTTCTCGGTTATTCCCAGTTTGTCTCTTGGATTTAAAAGTTGTCCACTTACAAGCCCAGAAAAGTAAGCAATTTAAAGAGACTGTCGTATTGGACAGGATACCAAGTTTTCTTTCAATGCTTGGGGTATCTTTCCCAATACAAGGGACAGTTTTTATTTAAAGGCGCTTTGCGTGAGTGAGCATCTTATGTACTTACATCACGACCATCACGGGCGGCTAAAGGTAGTTGTACTACGTAAAATTATTCACCTTTTTTGCCGTGGGCAAAGGGCAGGGTAAAAGAAGCCAGAAGAAAGCAAAGCCACATCCTCGCTGAAAAATTAAATTATCTGCAAATATATAGAATATTCGTTAGCTAAAATATAAATTTCTCATTTGTCTCCTCAATATGACCTGAATGCACAACTTAGTACACTTATGTTATCATTTTGAAAACGAAAAGGTATTGTAGGATCAACTACAAAAAAAGCAACATTTTTAAGATGACTTTTAAAAGGAAAAGATGAAAATACTGTTTTACCTACTACGTGATGATTGTCGACTGAAAACAGTGTATTTTAATATGCTACGATTTGCTAAGCCGTTCAATATCCAGCATGTTTTTTTTTTCTTTTTTGTCTGTGTCATGGTAGAAATTAAGATTTCTTCGCCAGTATGTTTATCAGTTCCATGTTTGTTAACAAACCCTGACTTTCGAAGCAATTTTTGACGATTTGTTTTAGTTATTATGTTTGCCCTTTAACCATTCTCAAATCTCTTTAAGCAATCCGACAATCAAATAAAGAAAATTAAGATTTCATTTCTTCGGAAAACATTCAGTATCTCAATTTTTTCCCCACTGTTTTGTTGTTTGCGTAAATTTCTTCAAATATTTTATCTTCAACTTGAATTAAAAGTAGTCCGGAGCTCACAGGCTCTGCGGATCTTTCTATAGTACCTAACAATTTTTACAGTAGTCTGACTCGTAAAATATGCTGTAACTGACAAACCAGGGAAAAAAACTTTTTAAAAAATATCAAATGTTTCTCTTAAGATTTTTGAACCTTTTTTCAATCATTTGCAGTTTTCTCACGTATTAATATAAGAAGTTGTACTTTCCTTTTTTAAGTTCTGCTTTGATCGAATCTTTCTCAGTTTTGAGAATATTAGAATTAATTGATCTATAACTATTGTTCAGTAAATGCAACAACACTTCTAAAAGTTGTCAAAAGAATTGCGAAATCGATGAAATCTTTGGCAAATTTCTAATTTTCCGTCTTTGAGCCCATAAATACCTTGTTTTGAGTTCAAATAAGCCAACTCTCAAAGAATGAAAAAATCCAATCATTTTCATAACTCACACCTTTTTACTGTTGGCGCCACGTGCGCGAAACTTTCTGACCGTTACGATAGCAAATTAGAACAACTGAAGGAATCCTGAATGAGTACCATAACAATCTTTCATACAGAGAAAATTAGAGATATTATTCTAAAGGAGAGTACCACATATTACTACATATTTCTATATTTTTGGGTAAAATGGTCGCAATTTTTAGAACTCACCGTTTTAATTCTTCGAGGCAAAGAGGTGCCTCTTTCCTGCTAGCCAAATGGCAAGTGGTCCCTTCATATATCACTCGTTGTTTTTAAAGCCATATTATTTACATTCGTAAGGGCCCTACCTGTTTTTGATGACACTTTCAGTTGTTCATTTAGACGTTTAAAATCGATTAAACTGAATAAAAAAACAAGACAATATTAAAACTAGCAATGAATCTGTTCCTTTGAATTGGATCTATTATAAGTTGAGTCAACAGTTTGTTTTTAATCTCGAAGTAAAAGTTCGCCGAACCCTTGTTTGCATAGCGAAAAGACGCACTGCTAGAAATTATTAAGATTTATTTGCTTTTAATAAGATATTTCCAAATACAGATGCTAACGGAGTGGTAATTATTGGATAAGTATTAATTTACAGTTATTTTCAATCCGCTAAACCGGCAGGCGGATTTTTTCCATTTATATTAAATAAAATAGTTAGAGCGGTAAGATTCTTGCCGAAATCATAGTTCTTATGTCTGAACAGAACCCCCATTATGGTTTTTGTGCAGGCGCAAAAGCTATCCGGCCTTAGTACCATACAAGATCCAGTCGCAGGTGGCGTGTGGAAGATTAAGTTAGAACGCCTTTGTAAATGATGGCAGGTCAGTTTTTCTTTGCGTATGAAAAAAAAAAACAGTAGTAGCAAAAGTAGTAATTCAAACATCAGTCTTTTTTCGTTATTGAGGTGCCAAATGAAACAAATGCGACAAATGTTATGAATTTCCTTGTCGTCTGAGAGATAATCACACTATAGGCTCGATTACCAGCCGCTGTTCGGGAAAATGAGCCCGCTCGGGGAGGATCAAAGACCGGACCCGGGAGACGGCGGAAATCGAGCCTAATCACACTACGGTACCTCAAAGTTTCGTGTTTATTCCATTTCTTACCGAGCTGATGGCAGTCTTGCCGAAAAATCAACCTTTTCTCGTAGGCTCAATATTATCACATTCACGCAATGTGCATGAATGTGATCTTAGTAAAAGTAATTAAAATGTGATTTTAATCACATTTTACTTGGAAACGTCAGAAGGTTACAGTTATTCGTTTCGATTCACGTGGGACCGCTATTTCGAGACGTATATAAAAAACTGAGAAAAAAGGACCAAATTAATTTTACTGACTCAAAAGAGAGACCTTAAACGAGGCTACAGTCGCATAGAACCCATTACGGCGATTGTTCGCAGTTACTAAACTAAACTTGGAAGTTAATGAGTGTATAGCTAAATCCAAAAAAATCTGTGCGAAAGACTGAGTGATCCGAGATTAACTGCAAAAAGATGTGTAAAGTGTGAATTTAAGTTAAAAATAGTAAAACTAATAGTCCACTTCAATGTCCAAAAACCGTCACTTTCAAAACCAGGCTAAGTGCAAAACCTTTCTTTTGAAAATGAGTTTTATTGCATGAGAATAAATTAATATTCATGTCAATGGCTTTACACTTAGCCTCGCTTTGAAACAGAAGATTGGGGTAACTCTTTTGCTGAACTAGATTTTGTAGATTTTCAAAAAAAGAAAAAGTATAAACGACTGATTAAAAAGTAAAGAAAAATGCAAATTGTATTTCTTTACCCAAGAAGCACTTAGGAGTTCTCAAGAACTCGTTTGAACAGACTTTTTTTAGCTTGTAGGTTATTTTCCCAATTCAGACCACTTGATGCCCCCAATGGAATTGGCCTTTTGCACGCAAACACTTGGATAGCGCATTAAAGTTCTCTGGGGTAGGCATTGTCTGCAATAGGGAAACGAACATACAAGCAATAAAAAAGGTCTAATGGAATTTGGAAGTGTCAGTTTTTGTTACATCAAAACTATGCAAACAATTTTTGAAAAAGTTCATGCCCGCGTGACTTGTTTAAAACATACAAGAAATTCCAGGATGTCAGTCTCGAGTTAACCATATTCGAGCCAAAGCCGTGGTTGACGAGAGGAATGGTAGAACCATGGGTAGTACAAAGACCGCTTTTTATTATCCATGGTAGAAAATGCGCACCAAACGGTCAGGAAGTCAAATACGCAAGTTTTATTTGACCTTACATGACGCGCTAACCCACCAATACTGAGGAGTACTAGGACCGAGTCAAGCACTCAGTATTAAGCGAAGGTGGCTGGGCGGGTGGCAGAAATTGCCTTCTTTTCATGAAGATAATGCGAATTAACTTCACCAATGTTTCTATAGTTGTCGCTCTATTAGTGGTGAGCTATGTGTTCTTCAGGCTAGCCCAGCGAAGTCAATTGGTGACGACTGACACAGAGTCAGTGCGTCAAACTTCAGGTACGCACAACTTTTTCACATGCATGGTTCACCATTCTTTGTTTATTTTTGTACGTAGACGTCAACTTCGTTTCAGATCCATAATATTAAAGAAAAATAACTTGGCTAATATCGCAGCCTATCTGATCTCATGCATGGGCAATAATGCCTATATTTGTATAAGGCTTAAATTCAACACATGAAATACTAAACCTAATCTAAGTATATTGGAACAGTACGTCTATGTAAACAATTACACACCCTAGACACCCAGGGATTACTAATTCATGTCTTATATTCCTCCTGTGTACAGTAAAATGCATGGGATATATATACCTGCCAACCCTCACGCATTATGCATGAATCTCATGCCTGTAAACTAAAGACATCAATCTCACACATCAAAGACAATTTCTCACGCCTGACTCACAAATAGGGACATATTGTTCTTTCACACAAATGTTCTTTAAGTAGCTTTAGAAGTGCTCAAACCAGCGTGCAAAGAAAGTAGTGTCCGATAGCCCGGGGCTAGTGGGTTTTGCTATTGGGCTAGTGAATTCGGTTATTAACTTGCCTGACGGGCAAGTGAAGTTTTTTGAGGAATCCAAATTACGGATGAACTGTGAAATCAATCTGCTCATCAAACCGTTTCTGGGGCTAGTTGAAATGACGTTTGGGCTACTAAATGTTAGCTTCATCTTGCCCGAATGGCAGGCTGTAAAAGTGACTTTCTTTGCACCCTGTCAAACCGTCTTCGGAACATCTGCGTATATTTTCGGCACCATTCGGAAGTCTTTGGAAAGTCGTCAGAAATCTTTGAAAGTCGGCAGGGTGTTTCTGCAAATACCGGTCATGACAACACACATTTAGCTTAAAAAAAGTTGGCAGGTATAGATATATACTCCCATCCAGGGCTGTCAACCCCTACATCGTTAATAGGGAAGGGATGATAGATGACATAACACATGGCACTTGACGTCATTTGTGCAAAAAAATACTCATTGCCTCTGATCATCAAAAATTTGCGATGACACAAAACACATAATAAAGATGTTGGTATTGTAGCATTTGACCTGATTGGTTTACTTTCCACCAATCATATTTTTATATTACAATGGCATAGCAGAGTTAATGAGGAAATGTTCGATGTTAACATTAAAATAGCTCAAACAACGCAACATAGTTGAGAATTTATTGTCAGAAATTCAAGTCTGCTTAACTTTGGCGATTATCTTGGAGATTTCATACTCTGATCTGGAGACCGGGAAATATGGTCCAAATCTGGAATCTCCCAGATTAACCAGGAGAGTTGACAGCACTGCCCATAGTACCAAAAACATTCTCCCAATAGCTTGCACTATAAGAAATGAGATAAGCTCACTGGAAAGATTTCCGCACAACTCCATAGATTTATTATGCATGCAGCAATAAAATTATTTATGTCATACTGTTTCACACAAATAGACATTATGCAGAATAAGTGTATGAATGCAGATATTCAAATTCCAGAGACATAGTTGCAAGCTCTCCTTCCTTTTCCCGCTCCGCTGCCGAGTGCCCCAGAGAGCTTGCTCGCTGGCTAGCTCAGTTTAGGCCTTGTATGGTTTAAGGCACCAAGTACCCAGTACACATAATAGCTTTGTGGCATACAGTAACCCCTTTATGCTAGAAGGAAGTGGTTTAAATGTAGGACCCAGTACATTATGCAGAAGTCTACAATTTTAATGTCCGGACCATTGATTAAGTGGTGTGTTAATTTCAATTTTTTTGGCCCCAAATCTGTGATACACTTTTGACATTCATGACACCTAAAAGAAAGAAGAGTACGTATGTTACAGGTCAAATTTGATCTCAGGTTGAAATTGTTTAACCTAGGTTGATTCTCATTTTCCTTTGTTTCCTAGCCCTAATTATTCATGAATTAGGGCTAGGAGACAAAGGAAATTGAGAATCAATCTAGGTTAAAAAAAATAACCTGAAATCAAATTTGACCTGTAACACATACTTGTATTTTATCAGGGTGGAGATCCACCAGTGTCAGTGAAACTGTAAAGATTTCCTTGAAGTGGCCAGGATTTCTTCACTTGATGTTTAGGGAAAGTAGCACAAATAAAGTTTCCAAATCAGATTATACATTTAACTTTGCTCCTGTTCTACCAACATGTTTATTTCTTTGTGAATGTTGCATTAATTTCCTTCATTTTGAGAGGATTTCCTCAATTTTGTGTTAATTTCCTTTATTTGAAAGTCATTTCCATTTAATTTGCATTGATTTAAGTCAGGTTAATTCCCAATACCTTAATTGTGTATGGCAAAATAATTTCCTTAAAACAGTTTTCAAGTAGATGAGGGTCATGTTAACTTACTTTAATACAACTGATGTCTGCTTAAGATGTGGTCCTTTTAACACAAGTCACATCAAATTCACATCTATTTTGTTCCTCTGAAAAGCAAAAGAATCAATAGACAAAATCAAAGCAGTCTCCGATAAATTGGTTGAGGTACAACTCAAGGAAGATCAAAAGATGATTGCTTCTTTGAGAGAGGAACTGTTAGAGGCCAAAACTCAGCTGGACAAGAGAACTGAAGTCAAGGAGGACAAAATGGAACCCAGCAATAAAAAGTGAGAGCTTAATAGCTGTAATTGACTGAATAGGCATGTTTCG